AGAGTAGTAGTTTGACCAGGAACACTGAATTTTCTGTCTTCTAAGTCTGTTAAACTAATGCAAACCTAAAATACTAACAAAGGAACAACAAAAACATTGCCCCAAGTTGAACATTTTTTAAAAATTGAGATGTAATTGACATATAACATTATATTAGTTTCAAGTGTACAACATAACTGGCATTTGTATGTTGTGAAAAGATCACTACAATAAGTTGAGTGAACATCCATTGCAAAACGTAGTTAAAATTTTTTTTCTTGTGATGAAAACTTTTAACTACTCTTTTAGCAATTTTCAAATATACAATACAGTATTGTTAATTATAGTCACCATGCTGTACATTAATCCCCGTGACTTATTTTATAACTGAAAGTTTGTACTTTTGATCCCCTTGCCCATTTCACCCACCTCCCACCACCTGCCTTTGGCAACCACCAATCTGTTCTCTGTGTCTATGAGTTTGGGGGTTTTTGAAGTCTTTTTTTTTAGATTCCACATATAAGTGAGATCATATGGTATTTGTCTTTCTCTGTCTGTGAACACTTTTTTAAAAATTTGTTTTTTAAATATATAAGTAATATATTACAGATGTACTTTACTTGTTCCCATTCATGTCTTTATCCAGTGATCTTTCTTTTTTATTTTACTTGAAAAAAAATAAAGTCATTAAATCCAAGGTTACTGAGTGACAAACCAGTGAGAGAAAAACTGAGACATAAATTAATACATTAGCAAGAGTTATTCTCCAAGAAAATACTATCTAGTTGCACTGCATACAATGACTAAATTGAATTAAATACATTTTTTAGCAGTCAAACTGTAGAATTATAGGTGAAGGAAAGAACAGGAGCTTGGACATATGATCATAAGTTACTTTTTTAGGCTTGAAATACCACAAACTACATACTAATCTGTTTCTTTCAATTTCCTTCATTAGTTAAACCAATCTGCAGGAATTGGTTCTTTGGTGATATTTCTCACAATGATACCTATAAAAAGGGTCAGAATTGTGTTTGTCAGGGTGTGGATATTTGTATATTGTTCAAAATTTTGAGGACTATGTATGTGCAATGTACTATCCTAAGGAACGTATTTCTAGTCTGGTAGAATTAACACTGTTTCAGGATTACTACTGTGCTAGCACTTTTATCACCTGATGCTGTACTTTCATATATTAATTTACTGTGAAGATTTTTCTTCATCTTCTGTCCACAAGGCCGTTAGGTTTTTCTTCTTTTTTATCTCATAATGTCCTGAACAGTCAGAAACCAAAGCATTTTGAAATTATCTGTTGTAAATATGTACTTATTTTCTACCCCTTCTGCTAAATTGTGAGATCCTTGAGGGCTTTCTCATCTTTTCTCCATTACATAATGGAATGTACTCGTGAGAAGACATTGTTGCAGCATTCTCATGAGAAGTATAGTATTGTTCCCATGGTACAATCATGACTCTGAGACTTAGAAAAGATAAGTCCCTGGTCCATTGGCCCATAGTTAGGAAGCAAAGCATCAGAGTTTTCTGTCTCTGTATGTGTGAATTCAAATTCCATTCACATCTATTAAATATCATTGCCCTTCCAATTCTCTTTGTGTATGTAAGTGTGTGTGTGTATGAGGTGGTGTGTGGGGGGCACGATGTTTATATGTACCTGTGTATTTTGAGTACTTCTTTCTGATTTCCTATACTGTTCCCATGTAATTGAATCATCAGACTCATACCTAAGGTTTGGTGAGTTATTTATGATGTTTTCATTAGCTTTTATTGACTTAGATATACTCATAAATCAGTTGTTATGTGCAGATAGTGTAAATATCAGGTATAACTTACAATTATTTCAATTTTCTTAGGTTTTGTTATATAAATTAATTTAGAGAACAAAGTTATGCTATAAAAGAGCAAATTTGAAAAAAATCAGCTTCATTCAGTCTTCAATGGACTAACCTAATCCATTCTGTACACAATTTATATATTATCCCAGATCATCTCGGAGTAACCTACTCTCTGTCTTTGAGTTATCTTGCTTCAAAGACAGAGAGGCTGCAGTGAAAGCTTGCAGTATTCTCGTAGTTGAAAGCCCAGCTCCTGCACATTGGGTGGACTGGACAGAGAAAGGCCCTGGCTTTGCCAGAATTTGCTCTGAGGGTCTTGTATTGCGGGTGAGTTGACGTTTCATAAAGCACATTTTTAAAGTGGGATTTGGAGATGGGGTGGAGTAAACAGACAAATACCATCTTCTTCTACCAGTAGACAGTCAGTTACTGCCACAGTAATACTGTGTATCAAACCACCCAAAACTCAGTATTTTACAACCACCATTTAATTTTTACTCAAACATTTGTGGGACAGCCTGGGTTTGACTGTTCTAGCTGACCTTAGCTCGACTTGACTCTAGGCTACAGATTAGGATCAGGCAGGTCCATGTTTGTCTCATGCATCTGGGACCAGCAGGCAATCTGACGTGTGAGAGAAGAGCCTAAGCCCACAAGCACATTTAACCAGCACATTTAAGCCTCTGCTTGCATCATGGCTCTTAATAGCCCAATGTCCAAAGGAAAGCACATGTCCAAGCATAAATTCAATAAGGTAAGGAAACATACTTTGCCTCTAATGAGGAGAACTGCAAAGCTATAAAGCAAAGGGAATGGATATAGGTATAGAGTGAAGAATCAAAATCAGTAATAAAGTCTACTACAGTGAGAAATCAGCTGCATTTTTTTGAGTGGGTGTGTGAATCTCAGGTAAGGTTTATTAAACACACTTTCCATTTGCTCTTCCTTCTCCCCTCCCTTACTTCCCCTTTTCCTTCACTGCTGCTTCTCTGGAGTTGCATCCAGTAAAACTTCAGCACAGGGGCTGGCCCAGTGGCATAGTGGTTAAGTTTGCGCTTTCTTCTTTGGTGGCTGGGGGTTCATGAGTTCCGACCATGAGGGCCCACCTACACACCACTAGTCAAGCCATGCTGTGGTGGTGTCCCATGTGCAGAATGGAGGAAGATTGGCATGGATGTGAGCTCAGGGACAGTCTTCCTCAAGCAAAAAAGAGGAAGATTGGCAACAGATGTTAGCTCAGGGCCAATCTTCCTCACCCAGAAGAAAAACTTTAGCACAAAACTTTTTGCCTTAGACTCTGTTTTCTGGGAATTGTGGACTAGGAAGGTAGGTCTGGGATCACAAACGGACCTCGGATGGGATTTTGGAGTGAGGTTTTACGACTACATGAGGACAACAGGTATCCTATTATGATTGATAAGGAGGGTGTTGAAAACCACAAGTAGGCAGCGGTAGCACATTTGGTAAAACTTTCATTTGTGTCTAATATAAATAAGATAGAAGTAGAAGGTGACCATACAGGGATGTCAAGTATTTGCTGCACTTGAAGGCAATAACCGCAAAATGCATTGTAGCTTTTGCTGATGACATTTCAAGCCTTGCAGAAAGAATATAATAGATTCAGTAGGTTCAGTACAGTGAATAGCCAACTTAAAGCATGTTGTGATACACAAGGGGCTTTCATATGGTCTTTAAAGAAAAACCTCATATGTCTTTAAAGGAGAAAAACTCAGTAACCTGAAGCTGTTGAAAATAAAGTGAAGAATTTGAATTTATAAAAATATCATTTCTGCAAGAGACAGTAAATGTGCAGTCTTATGTCAAAATCAGAACCCTGATTTGGTAGGAATGGAACTCAAACCTGGGATGGATACATTTGGATAAATGAGCTAAGGAATCTTGAAATCCTAAATGCCAGCCAGATCACCTGACTGGCAAAAGCAGCTTCCTCTCCCTTCCTATGCGGGGAAAGACCTTGGACTGGTTAATGGATAGGTCAGGGCAAAACATTGATCCCGTAATAACTATTGCCAAATTAAAGTTCCGCTCAGAGATGGCCCTGAAAGATAAGAGTGAAGGAAAGTTTTCCGAGTGGGTAGATACATTTTTTTTGTATTGACGCAGCAAAAGCTGCAATACTTTTTCTTATCATTTTCACCCTATGAGGGAGAGGTGGCTAGAGATATGAATCTATACTGACTCAAAAGCTTATAGTTTGGCCAGTTTGTCAATGACCTCGAATAAACAAGATTGAGAACTCAGAGATAAGGAACTCGGAAGAAGATACGTGTGGATAGATCCTTGGAAATGGGCAGAAAGACCTGCAAATGGTGAACTAGCAGGCAAAGAGAAAAGATACTGTAGATGGTAAATGGAACCTGTTTAGCATGAAAACCTGGGATTGCAGAGGGAAATATGCCTGGAACTCCAGGGATTCACTATGTCTTATGTTTCTTTGAGGGCCAGTAATAACTGTAAAAGGGCATTTGCAACAAGCATAGCTCTACAAGTAGAAGGAAACTAAGGCTCTGTAGCTCTTGATGATGTGGGGCCAAGACAAAGGTTAGACAAACAAGACACACAGGGCATAAATTTAAGGAGGCCCTCTCCAGGGTCAGCTCTTGCAAGATCCTAACAGTATCTTCTTAAATTTTACTCATTTTAGTCCAGGCCTTTGGTTTGGATCACTCACTTTTTTAGCCACCAATTAGACCAGGGTGAAGAAAAATCTAAAAAGTTGGTGGAGGGAGTAAATGAAAACCAGTTGTAATCCTGGGATCAGCTGTTGTATTAAGTCTTTTCAGACTTTGCAGCTATCCACCTCTTCCCCTCTTCATGAAGAAGTGGAGGCACATGACTGAGATCAGGATATCTTGAGAGGGTTGAGTGAATCAAAATGACACAAAGATTGTGCTGGATTCAGCTTATGTGCCACCCCAGATAGTCAGTCTTTCCTGCTTCCCCTCCAGGATTTGGCAACTTTTCCTGCTGGTGCTAGTGACAGCAGGCATTATTTCTCTGGTTATGAAGCCCACGCTACTGCACCTGTCACCAAAGTTGCCCCTAAAACACCGTGTGTGCCTACGCTTACAAGAAGAGAGTAGCGCATACATACACTAGCTAAACTTGACCCCTAGGAGCTTTGGCTTCTTCAGAGCCTGACTCAAGATGCTAGATGACACAGCCCCAAAGAGCAGGAGAGTTGGTCTGCTGTTGGGTGAACTTAGTCCCGCGGGAGATAGAAGTAAGAGAGAGGCAAAGATAGTTTGTGCATCTTCCACATCTATTCCAACTGAATGTTCTGAGATGCAGTGGTTTCAAAAGTCTTGTCTCAATATGTACCAGTGAAACTGAGTAATCAGTAACATTATTATGTAGCAGTGACAAGTACTTGGTAATGCATCGCTTGTATTTTCCTTTATTCACTTTTTTTGTGTGTGTGTGAGGAAGATTAGCCCTGAGCTAACATCTGTTGCCAGTCCTCCTCTTTTTGCTGAGGAAGATTGGCCTTGGGCTAACATCCATGCCCATCTTCCTCTGTTTTATATGTGGGACACCTGCTACAGCATGGCTTGATGAGCGGTGCATAGGTTCATGCCCAGGATCTGAACCCTCAAACCCTGGGCCGCCAAAGTGGAGCACACAGACTTAACCACTACGCCACCGGGCCTTTCTTCACTTTTTATTCCCTTTATTTTTTCCCTCATTTCTTCTTCTCTAGGAATCTCTCTTCTCCCACCCCAATAAAACATTAACATGAAAGCTTTTTGTCTCTACGTCTTTTTTCTAGGGTTCACGACAAAGATAATATCAATCATGACCTATTTTCATAACTTCACATTCTCTGCTCCATTCTTCCTTTATATATTTTTGGCAAGTAACAAATAAATCAACACTATTTGAGGAAAAATAAGCTAATAAGCAAAGTACTACAGCTCTTCTCAGCAGCATGTGTTGCTGCTCTATTAATTTCAGTGTTTAACTACTACAGAATGAGCCTCCAGCAGAGCATTACCTGGCAACCACTAAAAATGCAAACACATTGCTAACTGCAGCTTCACATCCCCCAGCCAATCAGAAACAACATAATCATAAGCTATCTGCAGCTAAGCTGCACTGGGAAATGTTATTTGGCTGAAAAGAAGGTAACTATTTGCTTGTTTCAAGATGAAACATTTCCTCTGACACATTTGAAAGAGAATGTTAAAAACAACAATAATAATAAAGCTTAGTAAGCTAACTTTCTATTTGTACCATGTGGACAGAAATTCCGTTAACTTAGAAGAGTAAATTTCCATCTTTTCCTACACCTGGATTCTGAAAGCAATGAACTGGGTATGCAGTTTCTGGCACAGTACCTCTCTTACATAAACTGTTAATGGAACTTTCTGGAAGTATAGAGAGCTGGCTATTCCACCCTCAAAAGAATCTCTACAGAACTTCACATTTTGTCATCAAAGTCCAGGAAGAAAAATTAAAAGTTTTAAAAATTAGACTTCAAAGTCCAGAAGTTTTTAATGTGTGTAGAAATTTGGTAATATTATAAATGTGGCATTTTTAAGATTAATATATTATGTTTGTGCTCTGTATGATGCATCTCCCATGTCTAAGGTGTTTGCATTCTGAAAGTTTAAATTTAGAACATTATGCACTGATTACTCAACATGATAAGCAAAGACTGAACTTCTAAAATCTTAATAGTACTATTATCTAGACCTATATTGATCATTTATTGTGCTAAATACTTTATTTGAAATATCTCATTGAGTATTGTCAAGGACCTACCTGAGAGATGATATCATTATCCCTACATTATTTATAAAGTATCTGAAACTTACAGAGTTTATGTTATTTACTTTTGCATAACTAGTAAGTGACAGAGCTCAAACTCAATGTCAATGTTATTTGACTCCAGAATTTATGTTCTGTGAATTGGACTTGCAATAAAATTGTTAATAATCACCCCCGCTCACTAAAATCAGGGAACCTTGGCTTTCTTTCTCTTCCTTTTCTAAGCCGTGCTTCTGTCACCTCAAAGCAATTACACATCTTGTCTCCACTGCCTGAAATGCTTTGTCTGCAAGAATTTACATGGCTGGCTAGTCATTCAGGTGTTAATAAAAAAACAAAAACAAAAAACTTTAGCTGAAAGGCCTGCCTTGGTCAACCCATCTACAACACTTATCCTTCCGTCTGGTTGTCTAGCATCACCCTATTTGGTTTTCTTCATATTACTTATGACAATTGGATATTATCTTGTTCGTTTGTTTGTTTTCTTGCTTTATTTTTTTTTATCCTCAACAGAAAATAGCAGAGATCTTGACTTTTTTATTTATCACTGATTTCTCATGACCTATAAAAATCCTGACACTTGGTAGGTCCTTAAAAATTATCTATTAAATGAATAAATGCATAGTGTGTTAGGAACAAATTGTTGCTCCAAGTAATTCTGTATATTAAACACTAGGCATATGTTCAATTGACAACAATGAGTTATTGTTGGTTAGTGTACACAGTATAAACTCATTAATTCCAAATAAATAATGTTAGAATTATAGAGGTTGAGTTCTCAGATAGATTCTTACTACCAACTTGACTTTCTCAGTCTTTATTTCTTGAAATAATAGTCTATTCTTTCACATCCCCAAGAGTCTTATCAGCTGTACAGACACAGCACCCCCGCCACACACACATATATTCTACTGAAACTACTTTCCCTAAAGTCACAAATTAGTTCTGAATCATCAAAAACAACAGCCCTTCTTCACTTAATGATCTTTATCATTTTTTCCAGAAAATACTTGCTATCATATGCCCTTTCTTAAATTTTCTTTTTTTTCCTTCTTTGACACTATAGTCCCCTGACTTTCCTTCAATGTCTGTCCACTTGTTTTCACCAAGTGACTCCTTTTCTTCGTCATGAACAAGTTATGTGAGATCTTGTGGATATCCCCAACAAGGATGTCGAGGGACTGAAGAAACTCAACAAGAATAAGAAGCTGGTCCAGAAGCTGGCTAAGAAGTATGGTGCCTTTTTGCCTTCAGAATCTCTGATCAAGCAGATCCCACAAATCCTGGGCCTTGGCCTACATAAGTCTAGCAAGTTCCTTTTCTTGATGAACCACAGTGAGAATATGGTGGCCAAAGTCAATGAAGTGAAATCCGTGATCAAATTCCAGATCAGGAAGGTGCTGTGTCTGGCAGTGGCCATTGGTCACGTGAAGATGACAGATGATGAGCTTGTGTACAACATCCACTTAACTGTCAATTTCCAAGTGTCATTGTTCAAGAATTGTCAGAACGTCTAGGTTTACACATCAAGAACACCAGGGGCAAGCCCCAGCATCTGTACTAAAGCACAGGTTAATATCCCTAAGTTATTTATTACTTTATTGATCTTGTCACTTCAGTCTCTCTACATGGTTTTGATCTTGTCACTTGAGTCTCACTACATGTATAAATGACTGAGTTCCTACCATGTTTCATACACTGTGCTAGATGTTAGGAAAACACTGATAAAACTAAATCTTGATGTGAAGGCTAGGGGAGGTCAAGGATAAGTCCAGGTGCTAGGCTTGGACAATGGTCATATGTTGCTCCCATTCATTAAGGTAGGGATTTCAGAAGATATATGGTAGTTTTGAACATTTTGATTTTAAGATTCCTATGTAATATTCGAAGAGATGTGTATACAATTACTAGTAGTATCTAAGTTGCTACTGGATGGTCATTCATGAAAATATTTAAAAAACAATAGGCTAATTGTGTAATATATATACACACATACATTATATATATATGTATACACACACACATATACACACATACATATATACACATATGTACACACATATATGGGGTTTTCTTATATTTTTGTTTTCACATATGTGAATTTGAATTATGTGGATTTGACATAGCGAAATATAAATATTAATTGTCTCATTTTATGCAGAATAATTATTAAAAATATGATATTTACAAACAGTGGATTTGAGTGAATTATAAACTGCTTTTGGAGACACTCTGATGTTGGTAAATAATATCTTGTCAGTTTCATAATAAACAGGGTATTTCTTTTTATTTTTGCAAGAATTGAAACTTTTTCACATGGTTTTCATAAAATCAGCCTCTGTAGAATGTACTGTCAACAGTAACACCTGAGCATTCATAGTGTAGTGGCACCAAAAATACAATTAAAAATTGCACCTAAAATTCATTTTGAATGAAAATTAGGAAATAATGTTATAATATATATTTTATGGATATGATTTAAAAGAAAATATATTAGATTATACATATAGAATATAAATACACACAGTATATATTTGTTATTTTTGTAAAACTTGTTTTGATTTGTGTTTGCAAATTTTGAAGTGCATGATTACCCTTTAATTTTAAGAAAGTAACAATTTTGGTAACAAAATTTAATTGCTGGTTTCAAGTAAGATACAATTAATCAATCTAATCTGTATTTGTTTTAAAACATCTGTTCTTCTTCCTTTGTTTGGAGACTTTTATTCTTGAGAACAAGGTTCACTGTGTGATTTAATATTATAGCATCACGAGTGGATGCCCAAGGATAGATATATTGCTGGATACCAAAGTGGTATAATTCTCAAGTGCCCTCATCTGTGTAAATGTGGTTCCTAACTGACCCACTGTTTATATATAGATAGAGTTGGAGGCAGATATGGAGACTGAGAATCTAGGGTAAGAAACAATGGGCAGGGGCCGGCCTGTGGCTTAGCAGTTAAGTGCCCGCGCTCCACTACTGGCGGCCCGGGTTCAGATCCCGTGCGCACACCGCCGCGCTGCTTGTCCGGCCATGCTGAGGCTGAGTCCCACATACAGCAACTAGAAGGATGTGCAGCTATGACCTACAACTATCTACTGGGGCTTTGGGGAGAAAAAGGGGGCAAAAAAAGGAGGAGGATTGGCAATAGATGTTAGCTCAGAGCCGGTCTTCCTCAGCAAGAAGAGGAGGATTGGCATGGATGTTAGCACAGGGCTGATCTTCCTTACCAAAAAATAAAAAGAAACAATAGGCAGAGAGACACTAGATATCACAAACTTTGTTTTCTACTATTTACCAAATACCACCAACTTCACGCTTGAAGGCCTTCAAATCAACAACATGAGACATAATATGTACATTAAATGGATAGATATGAGCAGCAACCAGCTCTTCACACTTTCCTAATGAAACAGCCCCGTTTCCTAGAAAGACTGCTTATCTCATCACTAAAGATGCCCAGTTATAACCAATAAGATGGCTCCAATTAGACTTCATTATTCACCTAGCCCTCAGAGAACATTATGACTAATTCGTCATGTGGCACGTCTTGTTTACTTCTAGTTCCATAAGAAATCAAGCCTCGTGGAGCATTGCTCAGCAGTGAGACTCCTGTGCCATACCTTCCTCTACCCCTTAGGATGACCAATCACCGACTCCTCTCCTGAGCTCTCCCCTTCCACCCTGCCCTGTGAATTTCATGCTCTGTCATCAGCATATCCCCAAATCTTTAAACATCTCTTTAGTCATTGCCGTCATTTTTTCGATCTAACAGAAATCTTGCTTCTCCCTGGAGATTAGTCTTCTCCCATGCCATGGGGATCACAGGGCCTGGAGGTGAGACTGGTGCTCTCCTTGTTCCTATGGCTCTTTCAGACATTTGTCTCCTCCTCACTCCCTACTTCCTCAATGGTAACAGTTCTTTGATTCCCATTGTAATCACTAATTCACTGATCTTAAAACCTTTTTATTAGGTATCATCCCTCATTTCTAAGATGCTAATCTGTGGTCCATCAGTACAACGAATGCTTTCTATACACCATCAACACTATTTCATCATTCTCCCACATACCAACATTTTTGGCAAAGCCACAATCCTGGTTAATTCAATTCTTTACTTTATCTTTGGGTTGAGAAAGCATAAGCCATGTTGGATGATTTCATTTTATATTTGTCTCCACAAACAACAGATAGGTTTTCAGTATGGCCATGGCAATCCTAAAATATTTTTCTGCACACTTTAGCTCTCTTAGAAAAGATTATTTTGTACTTTCTTGTCCTGAACTTCCAAAATTTGCTTTCATTCTCAGGTGATAATATTTCTTAATTTACTGCCAAAATAAAAGCAATAAAAACATACACTGTAAAGAGGAAGAAAAGACCAGCTACAGACTGGGAGAAAATAGTTGCAAAACACATATCAGACAAAGAACTGGTATCTAGAATATACAAAGAAATTTTAAAAGTCTAAAGTAGAAAAACTAACAACTCAATTAGAAAATGGGCAGAAGACATGTACAGACACTTCACTGAAGAAGAAATTTCAGGTGGTAAATAATAAATAAGCACATAAAAAGATGTTCAACATCATTAGCCATTAGGGAAATGCAAATTAAAACCATGAGATGTCACTGCACATCTGTTAGAATGACTAAAGTACAAAATAGTGACAACATCTAATGCTGGTGAGGATGTGGAGAAAGCAGATCACTTACACATTGCTGGGGGGAATGAAAAATGGTATAGCTACTCTGAAAACCAGAGTGTGGTTTGGCAGTTTCTTATAAAACTAACCATGCAATTACCATATGACCCAGGTATAGCCATACCATAGAATACTACTCATCGATAAAGAGGAACAGACTATTGATAGATATAACCTGGATGATTCTCCAGGGAATTATGTTGAATGAAAAAGGCCACCCCCAAAAACACTGCATGCTGTATGATTCCATTTATGTATCAGTCTTGAAATGACAAAATTACAGAAATGGAGAACAGATTACTGGTTGCTAGGTTAAGGAGGGGGGCTGGAGGAAAATGAGAGTGGCTATAAGCAGGCAGCATGAGGAATCCTTGTGGAAATGAAAATGTTCTTTATCTAGACTGTGTCCATGACAATATCCTGGTTATGTATTGACTTATAGTTTTGCATGATGTTCTGATTGGGGGAAACTGGCTAAAGGATATGCAAGATCTCTCAGTATTATTTCTTACCACTGTATGTGAATCTACAACTATTTCTATAAAAACTTTAATTAACAATAAATAAAAGGTAAAACCGCAGCAAACAAAAAATCTTTTTTGAGCTCACATTTTCCCTCAGCTACTGCTTTATTTCTTAATTGTCCTTTATAATAAACAATGTAAAAGGCTTGTTTATGGTTACTTTCAGTTCTTGTTTATGCTTCTACCTGTCTCATCAACATTGAACTCTAATAAGGTTTTCATTTCCTCTGCTCTTCTGAAATGACAGTCTTAAAGATGCAATCTTGCCAAATTCAGTGATCAATTCTAATTTATCATTTTATTCAAACTAAAAAGCAGAAATTTACAGTTATTCTCTCTCTTCCTCCTGAAATACTGTATATACTTTTCTTAAATGACACCATCTTGCTTGTTATCCATTTATTTCACAGCTCCTACTACTCAATCTTTCTGGCAGATTTCTCCTTCCCTTATGACTTCTAAATATAGAAATACCCCAGAGCATATACATTATATCACAGTGTTTTATGGTAATAATTTTGTAATAGGAAATATGTAAATCAACTTAAATTTTCATAAATAAGACATTGGTTAAATATATTATGATATATCCATATAATGTAATGCTCTATACATGTAATAAAGGATACTTTTTTAATTTTGATTTTTTTTACCATCTCAACTGTTTTTAAAGTGTACAGTTCAGTAGGTGTTAAGTGCATCCACATTGTTGTGAAACAGATCTCGAGAACTTTTTCATCTTGCAAAACTGATACTCTGTATCAACTCTCCATTTCCCCCTCCCCCAAGTCCCTGGTAACCACCATTCTACTTACTATTTCTATGAATTTGACTACTTTAGATACCTCACATAAGTGGAATCAGACAGTATTTGTTTGTATGTGACTGGTTTACTTCACTTAGCATAATGTCCTCAAGGTTCATTCATATTGTAGCATGTGACACAATTCCGTCCCTTTTTAAGGCTGGATCATATTCCATTGTATGTATATACCACATTTTGTATATCCATTCATCTCTTGGTGGATATTTGGGTTGCTTCTGCCTCTTGGCTGTTGTGAATAGTGCCAGTATGAACATAGATGTACTGAATAATATTCCATTGTATGTATATACTGCGTCATCTTTATCCCTTCATCTGTCAATGGACATTTGGATTGCTTACACCTCTTGGCTATTGTGAATAATGGTCCTATGAACATGGGTGAGCAAATATCTCTTGAAGATTCAGCTTTCAATTATTTTGGATATATACACAAAAGTGGGATTGCTGGATCATATAGTGGCTCTATTTTTAATTTTTTTTTTTTTTTGTGAGGAAGATTGGCCCTGAG